CAAAGACCATTCCTCCACAAAACAGCTGGGTGATTTTTATGACTGAGCTAAAAAACTATGGAGAAAAAGGTCATTCTTCTGCTATTTAAACTGTTTCAAAGCACACAAAAAGATGAAAGATTTTTGAATTTATTTTTTAAAATTATCAAAGCTTTAGCGTAATAAAAGATTGCCATGAACCAATGATACTTGTTTACAAAGAAAAAACTTTAAGTGAAATATTTATAAATCAAACCCAGTAGCAAATTTAATGAATAAATCACTATGATTAAGACAGTTAATTCTAAACATGCAATGACAGGCCAACATCAAGAAATCTGTGATATAATTCAGTATAAAAATAGATTAAAGGAGAAGATTCATGGCATTTGGATAAAGGCAAACAATGATAAAATTCATCAACCACTCCTGATTTTTTTTTTTTAAAATACCTTTGACAGGAACTTAAAGCAGGATAAAATTGCTCTACCTACTATCCGGCAAGCATCACACTTGGTGATGAACTATTAGCATTTCCAGCTAGGTCTGCAAAGAGTCAAGAATGCTGGCTTTCATTGCATTGCTTCAATGTTGCACTGGGAAGCCCTCACAGGTGCAGTAGGACATCAGGTAGAAACAAGAGACAGGGGTGTCAGAAAAGAAAGAACCCTGCCATCATTTCCAAGTTGCAGGCGAACGTGGATAAAGACATAGACATACACGCACTTGCACACACCCTTATGTTTGTGTTTATAAGTGGTAGGAATGGTGCTAGAAGGACAGACACCTAACTGTGACCATGGCTGGTTTCATCTGGGTGAGGAAGGAAGGAAGGAAGGAAGACGGGAGGGAGTGAGGGAAAGAGGAACCTTTGACTTTTATTCTTTGTGTTTGTCTACTCCTTTCGACAGTATCCATAACTAAGAAAAGCAAAGACTGAAACATCAAATTCATATGGCCAGAGGCAGTACTGCCAAGCCTCAGGTGAGTTCCACGTACCAGTTTTTTTATTTTTTATTTTAGACATTGGAAAGGGAAAGAAAGGAGCAGCTGCTGAGCTTTGTGCAGCAAGAATTAGTCACGAAGGTCATTATACTGAGCTGTCATTTCTATTTGCAAACGACCCGCCAGGGACTCATGGCTTTTTATAAAGGCTGTTACTGCCTACAAAACAACTCTACCTTCGTTTTTCAATTTGAATTACTCCGTAGGAAATAATTTCAATAATTAAGGGACCATAAACTGTACTACCACAGTAACCTAAATGGCACATCATAAAAAGAGCATCTAAAGAATATAAATACGGAATGTCTGGAACTTTCAAGGGCACACGGAAAGCTTTGATTCTCAAGATCTCACTGACAGACAAAACCGCCATGCCCCTGGCAGCAGAAGTTACGCCTTCGGAGCTATGTATTGTTTCAGGAACAAGCCGTGTCCTTTCTTACCTGGAAGCTCTCTTGGTGTTTTCCCCCTTTCTGGAACGTCCTCCTTCCCCTTTTACACGGAGACATTTTCCCACTCATCAGAAAATAGCTAACACAGCAGACCTGACTGCTCTCCTGCGAAAGATCTACTTCCAAGGTTGGCTCCTGGCTGGCATCTGGGGCCTTGGGCTTGGGAATCGTTCCCACCAGTCCCAGCTTCCCTGGTAGCTGACACTGCTTTTCTGCCCCAGGTCCCCTATTTTCTTCCTCGTCTGCTTTTATATCCGTCCCAAGTGTGTGGATAAATGCGTTTACAGATTTTACACAACAGTAGCATCTTATCCATGTTATCCTGTAGCTTGCTTTTCTTACCTAACAGCATATACTGGATCAAAAAGACATTTATTATTCATTTTCGGTGTTAAAAATTGAGATATAATTCACAATGTGGTCTTTAAAGTACAATTCAGGGCCGGAGGTGCAGCTCAGTGGTGGAGTACATGCTTAGCATGTGTGAGGCCCTTGGTTCAATCCCCAGCACACACAAAAAAAAGGAAGAAAAGGATATAATTCAGTGGTTTTTTAGTATAGTCACAAAATTATGCAATCACCACCCCTATCAAATTCCACAACATTTTCATCACCACAAAAAAGAAACCCTGTACCCATTAGACGCCAAAATATTTGTTTTTAATTTTGACTGTTTTTGCCATATTGACCCATCAAAATTAAAGTAAACATCCTTTTGACCCACTTCTAGTAATTTATCTCACCACAATATGGAAACTAATAGGATTCTAGTTGCCTCTCCCGCCCCTTCCCTACATACAGGAGGAACTCATTTATCTCACTGGAGAGGCGAAGTCCAAGTTTGGGAAAGAAAACATAGGCCCCACTCCCACACCTCCATCTCCACTCCATTGCACCCTGCAGTGAAACTGGATCCTGCCACAGCGCCCACATCCACACATGCAGCAAAGGTTCTGACTTTTGGAGTCTCTGAGAGGAGGCATTTGACCTATAGCAGTGTGCATGGCCATACCCTAACCTTGTCAAGGGCAAGGACAGTCCTGTGACCTCTGTTCTTACTTGAAGGCTGCAGCTACCAGAAAACAGAAGTATGAACAGCTTTTCTCCAACCCATGTGCTGAGTCTATCCCAGGCTGTTCTGTCCGTGCCCAGCAGGCACCAGTGTGGACAGTGTCAGCCAAGAAGGCCAGCCAGCTATTCTGTGGCACACACCCTCTTGTCGGCACCTGCCAGCCCCCACTTCCTGGAAGGACACTGCACCCCAGAAAGTTGACTCTGCAAACTGCTCCCAAGGTTGCAGCTTGGGTTCCAGCCCCACACAGAGCACACAGCCAGGCAAGCAGCCTGGGTGAACGATGCCTCTTGCTTCTCTCCCTGCCTCGTGTTCTTAGGAATGTCCATGGGGAAGATAATTAAAACCTGCAAGAAAACCAGCTGGCAGAGAAAAAGAAAATCTTGGTGACTTAGGGCCAATGCCACATGTTTATGAGTCAGTTTTGTAAGTAACACAGCAATAAAAAAGAGGCTCTTATAAATAAATGCTGCATTCTTCAAAGGTCTGTATAAATGGCATTCTTGGCTGGGGGGGCTACTTACATTCATGTTCCTTCCTTGTCATTTCATTTTCAACCTGGGGAGAGGAATCCTGATAGCACCATGTCCTAAGAGCACAGGAGTGCTGAGGCCAAGGACACACAGAGACACACAGTCACGCGCGTGTACTCAGGCACGCACATTGGGGAAAACAAGAAAGAAGAGAAAAGGCACAGGAAGATCTCTCTGTAGCACAGCAGTGTGGAAGTGAGGGGTGGAAGGGCAGGCGTTTCCCACCCTCTCGCTTGGGCTTTCTGGCTGCTGAAACTGAATTAAACATGCACACTTTAGCTCAAGAGCCATCGTCTTCTGGAGCTGAACAGCACCAAGATTAGGGTGCGCCTGTGTTATCTCCTTTCATTTACTTCTCCTCCGCTTTGCTGATTGCAAGGTGAGGTGGAGCCCTTTGCCTCTCTGCATGCGACACAAGGCTCCTAGCCATGCATTCCACGGTGGCCCTCCCCGGATCCAGCTGCGCGCAGGTAACTGAAGCCTGCCCTTCGGCTCGCTGTTAATAAGAGTAATTGGCACACCACCGAGGGGCGGCTGGAGGGCTGTGATTTGCCCAGGATGGGGGTCTCTCCTGACCATATGTGCAGGCGATGGTGATAGAAATATTTTCCATATGAGCTCTACTCTTGCCTGCTAAAGTGCTCTGGGCTCAGTAAGGCCGGCCCATTTGTCATTTTCTCTGCACAGTAAAAAATCAACAGGGAAACTGTGAACTTCAGCTTACAACCACAGGGCAATAGTTTGTTTTCAGCCTCCAGCATCGCTAAACCCATTCAACTCCTCCGGCTCCCATTCAAGAGTTCGATTCCCCTACAGGCCTGGGAAATAGCTGCGGAGCAGAGGACAGGGGAACTAGCAGGAAGAAAGCCCACAGTAAATGACCCGTCCTGCATGCTCTGCGCCTCGGAAGGGGTCCAGCCACAGCCGCTCAGACCACAGCCTGCCCTGCAGCGAGAGCCAGAGCTCGCTGGACACTCCACTCAGAAAAGGGAGTCATTAGGTTAGGCTTTCAGAACCCGCCTGGTCCCTGACAAGGCTAACAAAGGCAAAGCTGTATGTGCCCTTGTGGCCTTTTTAAAGAGACGCACTTTTCAATTGGCTTTTAAAAGAGGAAGACAGATCCAGGAGAAAGGCGGTCGTTTCATTTCTCAGACCTCAGTCTTCGAGACGTTCCAGCAGGGAAAGGAGCAGAGGGGGTGAATCCGAGGCAGGAGATTCTGCAGGTGAGGACAGCTGTACCTAAGTGCCTCCCTCCCCAGCGCAACAACTGGCCATCCCTTCCAGCCTCTACCTGCATCCAAAATTGGCTCACAGAGGTAGCAGCGATGTTCAGAAATGCAGCCAGTCACCACAGAAGCTACACCAAAAGAGAATAAAGCATCTTCACGGGCCTTAAACACGCCTCCTTCCTACGGCACATCTGGACACATTCCTAGCCCCACGAGGCATCACTCTCCCTCTTCAAACCTACAACAGAAAGTTAAACATGGACTTTTTCCCAAACACATCAAGGCAAAAAAAAAAAGGAGGAAAAAGTCAGGAAAGAAAAGCAGTCCTTCTTGCAAACACATCCTCTGTAGCCCTGGAAGAAAACTCCCAAAAGGGAATTTCCTTTCCTGCCTTTGCACCGGTCTCTCCTAGAAGCTGACATACCACATTAGTCCTTTCTCCTGCAATAGCAGGAGAAACATGCATGCCGCAGGCATCTGTCACTCAGGCCCTGCAAACGTCCCAGCGTGACAACTGCTACAGACAGGCTGAGGGTGAGACAGGCTCAGGATTCTCCATGAAGAAAAGGAGTCTTAGAATAAGAAAATGCAAAGACCAGCCTAAAAAGGTGATAGAAAGCATTATTCTTTGCAACCCTCCAAGCCCGTTTCCTCTTCTCTTAGTAGACAGAAGAAGAAATTCAATGCTGACAAAAATATAACTTCTGACAAGATATTTTATTTGGCTTACCTCTCCCTCAGGTCTTGCTAACATTGCTGTTTGAACGTGGAACAATGTTAATATCAGGTAGCTGACAAACATTATTACCCAAAGTCAGAGCTACCCTAGAGGACGGCTCCGTCTGCCAAGCGCTAACAGCTAACAGATGCACTTGTGTCTTGGAATTCCAGCCCCGGAGCTGCGCTAGGCACCCGTTCCCTCGGCTCGCCCTCAATGTACTGCCCGGCGCTCAGCCTCTGCTCTGCAGAAAACTGGTAAGCTGATCTCTTCATGTAATAACTTCTCCCGGCTGGGGGAGGGGACAGAGCCAGCTGGGAGCTGGGGGGGCTGCCTCTAACCGAAAGCAGAAAGGGGAGGGACAGAAATGATCAATGTGGAGCCCTGCATCTGGTCTCATTCATGAAAAGGGCTCCAAGGTAAGCCCTTCACAGGCAGGGGGACAGCCCTGCCTTGTCCACTGAGGCAGGCACGAGGCAGGGAGCTGCAGTAAGCTGAGCTCTAGGGTGAGAGCTGGGAGACCTGGAGCTTTCCGAGCACAGGAGCTGAGGTTGATAAGCTGTGTATATCTGGACACACTGCTAGCCCTCTCTGGGCTGCAGGTGATTTCTCACTGGTACAATCAAGAGTTGAGTGGATGGTTTCTGAATTCTGTTTTAGCTGCTTTGATGGCTGCAGAAATCTAGGCAGTCAAACGCAGCCTTATCAAGGGCAGCCTTGAAGAGCAAATAAGTCATCAGAGTGAGGTCTACTCCTGACCACAGGAACACGAATGCACAGGAACTGGCAGAGCCACTCTGTCCCCCTCTTGCTACATCCCTGGGTTGCTGTGCCTAACCAACAGCTTGAAGAATTATTACAGATGACATAAAAATAAAGGGTCAGGAGGTGGAACGAGTGAGTCCCAGGGGTCCAACAGTGCTGGCAGAAGCATGGAAATGCAGGATAGTTTCAGCGAAGTAAGAGCTACCTCTGAGCTGACTCAGAATGGCTATCAGAGCGGAGCCCAGGAAACAGGCTGGAGCACTCACCGTCCACAGGAGACCCAGCTTCACGGCCAGTTATCTCTCTGCCATAGCCGGGATCACGGGGCAACATGGGTTAAGGATTTTTCCTAGAAACCTGACTACTGGAGGCTGCTTGGAATGAACATAAGAATCCATGCCGAGGCCATCGGGGGCCCTGGAGGACAGGCTGACCGTGTGGTACAGCGGAAACAGCCCGAGGTCCTGGAATTAAGCAGGTGTCAGTTCAAAACCCCAGTTCTTCTAACTTCCCATGGGTCTTTGGGTGGGCAACCCTAGCAACCCTGTCACCCATCCTGCGAAATGAGGAAATGAAAAGAAAGCCTGGCACAGCTCACGGCACAGATTAAGTATGTACTACAGACGTGGGCTTTCTCTTTGATCTCAAATAAGTATCAGCACTCAGCCCGGGGAAAGTGAAGTAAGAAGCACTGGAAGAGCCTTAGGTTATGGGCATTTTCCTGCATTAATGAGGAAACCTTAAACCTAACAGCAGTTAGCAGCCATCTTAGAAAGTTTACTATCAGCAGTCACAGGATGATTTACCAGTGAGGCGTTTTGGGGGGAGGGTCAGGTAGGGTGGGGAAGGAATTTACAATCTCGTCCCAGAGCTGTGTGTGTGTGAGAGAGAAGGTACAGTGAAAGGCAGAGGAAGGAAGAAATGCATGCCTTCTTTTTCCCCTCTTCCTTGTTCATTATTTTTATTGCTCATCATTGAGTCTGTTCTGCCACCTAATCAAAGTGGCATGGCTGTCTGTCTCCTAACCACCTGGGAACATAGGAATTAAGAAAGTCCAAGTCTCATCAGATATATTTCCTGGCCAGGGGCTTAAAAACTGTCTGTTATACCCTGGATAGCAAATATTTTCAGTTTCGTAGAACAGCTATTGCGGCAACTATTCAACTCTACCATCATAGAATAAAAGCAGACATGGACAGCACAGATGAACAGGCATGGCTGTATTCTAATAAAACTTTATCGAGGAAAATAGCCATCAGACCCTGGCCTAGACATGGCCAGTCACACTTCCGTCCACTATAACTGACCTTTGTTATCTTTGCTCCACTTTGTAACAAGACAGAAAGGCTAATTTTCATTTTATTTGACTTTTCTGTAGTAGTGACCATGCCCTCTTTTCTGTCAATATTATAAAATATATTAAACATAAAATTTACCATTTAATCACTATTAATTATATAATTTAGTGGCATTAAGTGCATTCATGACGTCATATAGTCATCACCACAATTTTCAGCATTTTTTCATCATCCTGAACAGAAACTCTCACTGTATTCATTCAACAGTAACTCTCTACTTCCCCTTCTTCCCAATCCTTGGTAACCTCTTACCTATTTTCTGTCTATGAATTTACCTACTAAGCACTTCACACAAGTGGAGCCAAGCACTATTTGTCCTTTTCTTTCTGATTTATTTGACTTAGCATATGTTTTAAGGTTCATTTATGGTGTAGCATATATGTAAACGTCCTTTTTAAAGGCCAAATAATATTCCATTGTATGGACATACCACATTTTGTTTATCCATTTGTTTGTTGGTGGATATTTGGTTTGCTTCTACCCTTTAGGCTATTGTGAATAATGCTGCTATAACACTGGTGTACACATATCTGTCTGAATCAATGCTTCAATTCTTATGTATATATATGTAGGAATTGCTGGGTCATACAATAAGCTTCTGTCTAGTTTTTTGAGGAACCACAAAACTATTTTCCGTACGGGTGGAATCATTTTATAGCCCCACCACTAATTTCCACTTTTCTGATTTGGGCCATCTTGATGGGTATGCCCTCCTGTTTGAACCACTCTCCTTCCAAAACTCACTGGACACCACTCGCTAGTCCTCCCTTGCCCCTGATTAACATTCTTGGGCACTATGAGGCCGGCATTACCTTAAGGGGTTTTCAGTCTCAGAGAACACTGATAAGTTAGACTGAATGACTTGCCCCGAGTCCCATAGCAGGTAAGTGGCAGAGTCAGTGTTCTGGCCCCAGCAGTCTGACCCCTGCCCAGATTCCAGCAGCAGACCATCACCGTTTCTTCTGGACCCTCTCCAGTCTCCCTGACACTGTCTCAGCCGAGGTCCTAAGTAGTGCCTGTGCTCTGGAGCCCTTCTTTCTCTGTCTACTTTCTTGTATCATCATCTCATCCCTTCAATGCCCACAGCCACTCTTCATGTGCCCATGGCCCCACATCTACCTGTAGCCAGGACGCCCCTGACACGCAGGCCACAGGTCTAGGTGCCCAGTGGCTGTGGGGATCCCTCGAATGCATTCTAAATGCCAAGATCTAAAGCAAACTTGTACATCCCTTAAGCGTGTTCTTCCTACTGTTTCTTCAGTCTCTATGAATGACAATATTCGCCACATGACCCCCAGAGGCTGAAAACAAGATGTTATCTTGGTCCTTCTACTCCTTCACTTCCTTATCCAAACCATCAGAAATCTTTCCAGATTCCTCCAGCCTTTGCTCCCATCCTGCCCTCCACCATCTTTTCTAGGCTTCTGTAGTACCTCCTTACTCTGGTCTTGTTACCTTCTAGCTTTCTTCCTCCCAGCACAGCCACTAGGGTTCTTCTAAAATGCGAGTCTAATCGTGTCACTCCCATAGTTTTGAAATAATTTTGTATTTATAGAAAAACTGCAAAGACAGGACAGAGTATCATGATATATCTTCACCATGGTACGTATATGAGAACTTAGAGGTTAGCATCAGTGAAATAATTCTACTCCAACCACAGGCTTTATTCAGATCCCCTCCCCCAAATGTCCTTTTTCTGTTCTAGAAACCTATCTTTCATATCACATAGCATTTTAATCATTGTCTCTTTAATCTCTTCTGGTCTATGACAATTTCTCTTTTTTTGGTACCCAGGGTCGAACTCAGGTTCTTGCGCTTGCAGGGCAGGTAGTGGAACCGCTCAGCTAAATCCCCGGCCCTATGACAATTTCTTAGTCTTTCTTTGCTACAGAAATATCAAGGACATGAAAAAAAGCAAAGAAAGAGGTGAATAATGTTATTCATAAAACCCACTTTGGGTTGGTCTGATGCCTTTACACGATTAGACAGGAGTTCACTGGTTTTGGTGAGGAAGGGCAGTACCAAAAAATATCTAGACGTATGTTAAAACTATCATGGTCATAAATGAACATATTAGGGGGCGCTAATCTGAGGCTTTGTAAATACCCTATTCTTCAAGTGTCACCCACTAATTTTGATGTCCACCTGCCAATCTCGCCTATAGTAACCATTACCATAGTGTGCTAATGATGATTCTCTGTTTCCCTTCTGCTTTTACTAGTTGGAATTCATCAGTATGGGAGATTTACTCCTCCTGTCCCATTTATTTAATAATACCATCACTTATACTGCCCTGGTTCTTAAAATCTTTTGAAGGATCACCTATAGGGATGAAGCCCAACCCCTTAACATGACAGCTGGAAGACTGTGTGCAATAAGGTCTCTCCCCACCCTTCCAGCCTCTTCTTTCTGCTTTTTCTTCATGCTGTCTCCACTCCGCAGCCTTTCAGAGCCACAAGAGATTCACCCCAGCTGTGTCACTGCGTTCCATGCCTGCCTCATGCTACCCATCTCTCCAGAATGTCCTCTTCCCAGCCTCACTAAGTTAGTGTCTTTTGCTCTTGGCTTCTGAGAACTCAGCTCAAGCTGTTTGTAAGCACCAACTACTGCACACTATTCAAACACCATCAGTAAGGACTGAGTAACTTGTGACATCCATAAATGAGATTTCTTTGCAGCAGTTTAGAAAAAACTGAGATTGCTTCGTATGTCACCACAGGAAACATAGCAAAGATGTATTACAAAATGAGAAAGCTAAGTGCACAACGCGATCACTCTCCTGTTACTCACATGTGTTGATAGTTGTTTGCATGAGTAGTAGCTATCACTAGAAGGTCACTCTTGGGCTATCAGCAATGGCTAACCCTAAGGAGGGGAACGGAGGAGCTTCAGAGCAGGAACAGGAGAGACATTTTTACTCTTTATCTGTGCTGTCTCAAATGGTAGCCACTCAGTCACATGTGGCTACTGGGTACTTGAGATGTGACTAATCCACCTTGCAATGTAGTCTAAGCATAAAATGTACTTAATGCCAATTTGAAGACTTGCTACAAAAATTTAAAATCTCTCATTCACCTGCCCCTATGCTGATTAGATGCTGAAATGGTAATATCT